AGGAGACAGTGGAAAGGCCTGAGCTCCCTCTCTCAGAAACCCAGGAGGAGAGAGTGCCAAGAACTGGGAAAGTAAAATAGATAATGGCTGAAAATTTTCCAGAGCTGACAAAAATATAGTAATCTTTAGCTTCCAAAGCTCAACAAAAATGGCTAAAAAATGAAAATCATCACAAACATATCAAAGTGAAATTATGAAACACTAGTGATAAAGAGAAGATGTTAAAAATAGAGAAAAAAGTCAGATCGTCTCTGAAGGAGTGACAGATAGCATATCAGCTGATTTCTCAAGAGCAACAGCAAAACCCAGAAGGTGGAACAATATCTTCAATGTACTGGGAGAAAAGAACTGTCCATCTGGCCAATTCCCATTCAATAATAAGGGCCATTTGGAAGAAAAATGAGCAGTTTTTATCATTGACTATAGCTAAAGGAAAACTTGAAATATATTGTCTAAAAACAAGGAAAAGGCTTCGGATGAATAGAGGAAGGTGAAGAAAGCCATGGGTAAGAATGTTGGATAGCCAAATGGTTAGTGCCTGTCACACAAGAACAAATATGCCTAATGGGAGGGGAAATTAAACCACTGGCAACAAACCCAGGGAGAATGAGAAAAGGTGACTGGGGTTAGAAAGCTTCCTGAAACTTGTATGGCTTGGGACGAGGGGCATGATAACGATTAATTTTAAATTCTATTTAATATTAATAGAATTTTAGTAACTTCTGAATCTATGTCTCTAGCTCTGGTATCTCTCATTAACTCAAGACTAACCTGCCCAATGGCAATCTTGTCAATCTCGTGTCTAACAAGCACCTAAAATTTAACTTGATGCTCTGCACCTACAAACCCATTCCTTCCACTCTGTGTCAACGCAGTAAATGGTGATTTCCCCTCCATGATGTCCAACTCCAAGGTTGACTAAAACAGTGGGAGTCAACCTTGCTCTCCCTTTTCTCATACCTTAAATCCACCCACCAACGAATCTCAATCGCTCCAACATTGAGATATCCAAAATGCAAGCCCTTCCCTCCATAGCTAGAATGATCTGTTCTGGGTTCCTGAAAGGTTACTGGCTGGCCTTCTGCTCTTTCCTGTGCTCTTCTATCTGCACACCAGAGTCATCATTCTGAATCGCAGGTCAGATCATAACAGAGCTTCTCTCTGCTTGAAGCTCCCTACAGGACTTCCTTGGACTCAGAATGAAGTCCTAGGCTCCTTCCTTGCTCTCTGAGGTCCAAGGTCATCCATCCCCACTTTTCCCAACCAATGTTTTCTGACCTCATGGCAGACAAACCTTCTTCCTAGCTGTTTCCATGACAGCACAACTGGCCTCCTTGTTCTTCACACAGCTTCCTCTGCTGCACTGTTTCCCAGGAATGTGTCACACTGCATGTTTAAAAAGCTTCCTGCTGTACTTCCTTCAGGTTCCTGCTCAATGGCCAGCTTTTCCGATGTTCCTCCTGATCATCCTGTATATCGTGACGTTCTAATTGCTCTCTATCTCTTATTCTTCTCTTTTAGGGTTGTATTAGGCCATTCTTGTGTTGGCATAAGAAATAGCTGAGGCTGGGCAATTTATAAATAAAAGAGATTTAATTGGCTCATGCTTCTGCAGGATGTACAGGAAGCATGGTGCTGGCATCTGCTCAGCTTCTGGGGAGAACTCAGGAAGCTTCCAGTCATGGCAGAAGGTGAAGGGGGCGCAGGTGCGTCTTACAATGCAGAAGCAGGAGCAAGAGAGAGAAGGGAGGAGGTGCCTCACACTTTCAAACAACCAAATATTGAGACTCACTGTCCCAAGGACAGTACAAGCCATGAGGGATCCACCTCATTGACCCAAACCCTCCTGCTGGGCTCCACCTCCAACATTAGGGATAATTCAATATGAGATGGAAAGGACAGATATCTAAACTGTATCAGTAGTATTTATCACATTTTACTTCTATATTATCATTTTGCTTCTTTTTAAATGTGTGTCCATAATGAAATGTAAAATCAGTAAAAGAATGAACTTTATTGTGTTAATTGCTCTATCTCCAGAACCTAGAGTATTTCCTGGCACATAGTAGGCACTCAAGGGTAACCAGTAAAATAATAAAAGTAGACCACATTTCTTCCCTGTTTAAGGACATAGAGGAAGGGAGGGAGTGAGGGAGGGGAAAACACTTTAAAATGCAATTGGAAAGACATCATGAAAAGTGAAAAAAAGCACAGAAATAGAAAACAAATAAAAAGTACAAAATAAAATGTTAAAAGTAAATCCATGTATATTAGTAACAGCAATAAATATAAATGACCTAAACTCGCAAGTTAAAAACTAGAGATTGTCAAATTGTGTTTTAAAATAATTCGGTTATGGGCTGTAGCAAAGAGATAGGTTTAAATCACAGGACATAACATAGGAAGGCTGCAAAAGATGTAAAAGGCAAAATATTACTATAGTAATAACAGACAAATTAAGGCAAAAACAAAACAAAACATATACCATAATACCAAACACATAATGTTAAAGAAAAAAAAAGCACCCACCGCAATATATTATTTAAGATCATATGCATATGCCAAAAACGTATGAAGAAGTGACTGACAACAAATGTAGGTTACTTGGAGATAGTGGGAGAGGTGGAGGTTGTGATTGAAAGCATGTAAAAGTGACTGCAACTCTATTAATAATGTTTAAAAATGATTCCAACCTGGATGGTGGGTACATTGGTTTTCAGTGTAATTTTATCATCTGTCGCATGTCAAAATAGTTCATAATTTAAAAACTCTCCCAAATCATATTACGATTATTTTTCTGTTTTTGAGATGGAGTTTTGCTCTTGTTGCCCAAGCTGGAGTGCAATGGAGAGGTCTCGTCTCACTGCAACCTCCACCTCCCAGGTTCAAGTAATTCTCCTGTCTCAGCCTCCCGAGTAGCTGGGATTACAGGCACGAGCCACTATGCCCGGCTAATTTTTTGTATTTTTAGTAGAAACGCAGTTTCACCATGTTAGCCAGGCTGGTCTCGAACTCCTGACCTCAGGTGATCCGCCCACCTTAGCCTCCCAAAGTGCTGGGATTACAGGCCTGAGTGACCGCGCTCTGTGGCAACTAGCTTTCAACACAACAGAACTGTCCAATACAACATGATACCTGGAAAGTCTGGGTCAGAGAGCATCTTACGGAAGAAAAGCAACACCGATTGGCAAGATCGCCTAAGGAAGTTTCAGGGCATTCTCTCAGGTCAGGGCAGGTAAGAGCACTCTTGGCTTTAGCAAGATACCTAAATAGGCAAGTTGCTTACAATTTGTCTTCTAGAAAATGTGCGTAAATAGAGCAATCCCCTTGCAAGGAACTCCCTAGCAATGAATGATAAAATACATAGGTGTTCAATGAACTGCATCAAAATTTATCTGGAAATGAGGCAGAACAGAGCTAGCAAGATACAAAAATAAGATCCTATTTCCCCAACTCCCCAAGGCAAACAGCCCCTGTCCTCTTTGGCCTTTGGATTACCCATTCCCTCAGGCACTGTGTCCAGACATAATGGACAATCACCAGATGGAGAATGCTGGAAATGCATCGGTGTTTTTGAAAGTGAAAACAGACAAATCACTGCAAATAAAGGACTTAGTATCAGCTCTCTAGTTGGGAACCGCCAAGGCTACAAAGATAATGCGACTAACCCTGCTGTCCGGAAACTGCTTAGTTTCTTTCTGGCAAATTCACATTTACGGCAGTAAGATACTAAACATGTTCTTTCACCTAAAAAATATTGTGTTTGTCATTGCTACAGTTAATATCCCTCAGATGAGTAATGCAAGGCACATGATGTGAGGTTGAGTGGCGTGAGCAGCCTTCCCCTTCAAGGCCATCCAAGTCTACAGAGAAGCTTCACACACCTCCTTCCCTCCCACTTGCCCCTCCCTAGCAGGCCGCGGGCTCAGGGTGGGATTAGGCGGCGAATTTTACAAAACTCCAGATAGCGGCGTCGGCCTCGGTTTCCTGGAGTTACTCCCCGGACAGACGCGTTCTAGCGGACTGACGCCCCGGGAGGAGGAGCAGGAACGGCACTGACGGGTGAGGACCCCAGCGCACCCCTCCGCCCCCCTCCGCCTCCCACCCAGCTTAGCCCGCCCGCGGCACCCGGCAGCCCCGCCTCCAGCCAGCGGAGCAGGTCGGCACCCCGCGCAGGCGAGCGAGCGCCGGGTCCAGCCAGGAGGTGGGCGGCGACCTATCCCGCTCGAATCTGTCCAGTCTCCGCTCCAGCACTGTGATTTCCAGGGGCGCGGATTTCAGCCGGGCTGTTTTCGCCCCTCGGTGGCAGCAGGGGGGCCCCTGGCACCCGACTCCGTCCACCGCCAGTAAGCCTCAAAAGCGCTCTCGCCCTGTGGACGACTCGGAGTCCCTGCAGAGGCCAGGAGGGAGTTGGCGGCGCCAGCCCACTGGCGAGGGGGCGCGGAGCGCGGGGAGCGCGGGGAGCGCGGGACGCCCTGTCTGCTGGAGCGTTGGCTCCGCTGCTGCGCTGTAGGCAGGTGCTGGGGAAGCGCCGCGGGAAGGAGCGGCTCTGAGCAACAGGTGCAGCCTGCAGCGCCGCGGGAGCGAGGGAAAACGGCCGGCGCAGATCTGCAGCGGTAAGGCGCGGGAAGCCTTTCCACCTGCGCGGCTGCGGCCGGCGGGTCCCTCCTCCCAGTCTCGGTGGTCGCGCGGCGGGCGGAGGCTCCCGGGCAGGGGACTCCAGAGCTCTCGAGACCACTGTCCCTTCCCGAGAAGGTCTGGCTCCGCGCTCCCGACCCGCCCTCTCTCGGAAGGACCCGGCGTGAAGAAGGTGCCAGCAGGCGCGGCCGCCTGATCTCCGCGCCCGCCGGCGCGCGCCTCCGGGGAAGCCCAGGCTCGGAAACTCCCGCGCTCCGTGCTCCGCGCCGGGACCTCGGCCACTCCCGGAGCCCACCTTCGCCGCCAGGTACCCGCCGTCCCTTCGTCCCCGGGCGCCCCGCCGCTCGCCCGAGCAGCCCCGCGGGCCATGGAGCTGGCGGTGGGGAACCTCAGCGAGGGCAACGCGAGCTGGCCGGAGCCCTCCACCCGGGAGCGCGGGCCGCTGTTCCGCATCGGCGCGGAGAACTTCGCCACGCTGGTGGTGTTCGGCCTGATCTTCGCGCTGGGCGTGCTGGGCAACAGCCTGGTGATCACGGTACTGGCGCGCAGCAAGCCGGGCAAGCCGCGGAGCACCACCAACCTGTTCATCCTCAACCTGAGCATCGCCGACCTGGCCTACCTGCTTTTCTGCATCCCCTTCCAGGCCACGGTGTACGCGCTACCCACCTGGGTGCTGGGCGCCTTCATCTGCAAGTTCACCCACTACTTCTTCACCGTGTCCATGCTGGTCAGCATCTTCACGCTGGCCGCGATGTCCGTGGACCGCTACGTGGCCATCGTGCACTCGCGGCGCTCCTCCTCGCTGAGGGTGTCCCGCAACGCGCTGCTGGGCGTGGGCTGCATCTGGGCGCTGTCCATCGCCATGGCCTCGCCCGTGGCCTACCACCAGGGCCTCTTCCACCCGCGCGCCAGCAACCAGACCTTCTGCTGGGAGCAGTGGCCCGACCCTCGCCACAAGAAGGCCTATGTGGTGTGCACCTTCGTCTTCGGCTACCTTCTGCCGCTCCTGCTGATCAGCTTCTGCTACGCCAAGGTGCGGGGCGGGCGCGGCGGGCGGGGGGCCGTGACGCGCGAGGGTGGGCCGAGGGGCGGGGGTAGGGGATGCCGGGGGTCTCAGGGTCCCGTGGCCCTGCCTGAGCCGTGCCCTCGCCCAGGGCGGTGCTGGGCGGATCTGGGCGGAGAGGTTCTCCGGCCTCTGCTGGAGCGTGCCATTGGCTTGCGCAAGAAAGTTACTTGGAGTCTGAGACGTGCTGGGGAAAGTTTGCGGTTCACGGGGTCTGGTAGAAAAAGTTTCTCCTCCCCTCCCTGCCCTTCCTCGCCGCGGCTGCCCTTCAACGCCCCAGGTTGCCAGGGCGTTGTGCGGGCGAGGCTGTACCCTTCCCAGCCCCGGAAACCCCGCTCCTTTTCAGCGACTCTAAACCACTTCAGCTGCGCGGGGAAGTGACCGCCGCGGGGCTGTGGGACCTGACAGGGCGCGTGGTCACCGGAGCGCCGGCCTTTCGCGGTGGTGGCGGGTCCCCACCGCCCCTCCCGGGCTCTCAGCGGCCGTGGGGGTGACTCGCCGGCGGCCCCTCTCCCCGTGGTGCGCAGTTCGCCCTCGCGCTGAAGGCTTTGCGCACTCCGGGCGGTGTGAAGCCGCTGATCCCAGGGACAGAGCTTCGAATTTTATTTATTCTGAAGCTTAGCTTCATAAACCCAAGTGTCAAAAGGGTGTTTCTTGACAGGGTCCTGACCGCAGGCTCCAGGGAACTTTGAACGGAATGGATTCAAGCTGTGGGCTTCTCCATTTCAATCTTTTTTAGAAAGGTATCCTAGACAGGGGGCGGGGGGAGGTTGAGGCGGCGGATCTTCACCTAAATGTAGCAGAGGCCCGGTCCACACGTGTGGCTTCGGCGGGCTGGGGTCTCCTTCCCGGGAGATGGCTTTTCCCGTTGTATAGCAGGGCAGAGCTCAGCACCCACATTCTTTTTCATGAAATCCACAAGGGTTTGAAGATTTTATACTGATGAAAAGGGCTTCAGCGTTCGACACACGTTGTTTCCACTTGCGTAAACAGGCGCTTATTTTAATAATCAGGTGATGGCGATTCAGGGGTAAACCCCAGTGTCCCCACCCTACTAGCTTCAGAGCGTCGCTATTGGAAATGCAGCTCTATTACCAGGTTCCACCTGACCTCGCCTCCCTCTGTCTCTCATTCTGTTTTCATAAGGCTGTGATTATACAACCACAAATAACCTGACTAGGTAGAACAAGAACTTTCAACACTCAGTTCACAAGGTATTGTTCTCAACACAGATGTTTACTATAAGCCACCTGTTTCTCTCCATCTAGTTTTTCTCTGTAGATTGTGTCTATTGTGAAGCGTAATGTTTTTGGATGTTATCTGGACAGCCTGCACCAAAAGGTAATTATAAAGAAATATCGTAGCACTTTGGGAGTCTGAGGCAGCTGGATCACCTGAGGTCAGGAGTTCAAGACCAGCCTGACCAACAAGGTGAAACCCTGTCTCTACTAAAAATACAAAAATTAGCTGGGTGTGGTGGCAGGCACTTGTAGTTCAAGTTGCTCAGGAGGCTGAGACAGGAGAATTACTTGAACCCGGGAGGCAGAGGTTGCAGTGAGCCAAGATGGCACCACTGCGCTCCAACCTGGGTGATGGAACGAGACTCTGTTAAAAAAAAAATAAAAAAGAAATATAGTAGCAGTAAGGGAATTTGGAAAATAACTCTAGCTTAGCTATTTGGAAAATGGCTGGTTTATTAATGTGGTCTTCTGCAAATACTAAACAAAGGCTATTTTACATAGCACAATTATCTGATATGTGCACCATCTCATTTAACTGGCACACCTCTGTGGCTTGGGGCTATTTTATTATTTACCCAGATTTTATTATTTAAGAAAAAACATCTTTGGAAAAGAACACCTGACTCAGATTATGAAGCTGGTGAATGATTCACGAAGGATTTAACACAGGGATTCCCAGTCTCCCACGGACGGGACAGTTGATGAGGCCTTGAGGACACTGAAGTATGAGATTGGGATTCTGAAAACATGGCTGTCAAGTTCCCAATTACTGCTTTGGAACTGAAGCACATTCTTCCTTATGCCCCTGAACCTTTGGGGAGAAGAACTAAAGTCTTCTTACTGGAAATGACAAAGTAAGCTTTTAGAAATAAATTAGGTTACATTTCTGTCATTTGCAAGTCTATAAAAGTCACACAGAAGGGCAAAATTACAAAACAGTTTTTTTTTAAAAAAAAAAACGTAATGAATTTGGATTTTTAAAATATGGAAATAGTTTGCTTCCAAGCATAACTGGAAAAATATTTTGCATTCAGCATAATATTTGCAAGTTCATTTCAGGGCTGTCATGGGTAGGTGGAGATAATTAGTTGTTTCAGGTTGCTTTTCTTTGGCTCAGGCATCAGGTGTGCACCCTCCAGTTAAGGATTTTGCTACTTGCGTGTGAGTTTCAGGATTCACTGTTCTCCAAACTCCAGGTCTGTTGGATAACCTGAAAAAACACAGATGACTAAAAGGGAACCTGAGGTTATGATGCTTTAAACAAACAAAAAGACTCAAGACAATTGCATTCCAGAGTTGCCTTTTGCCTTCAAATTCTTACAAGTTTGTAATGGAATGTTTTTTCGTACCAGTTTCTGGGAAACTGATCGAATACATGGGCTGGAGGATGAGTTGAAGTGGTCCGCCCAGTGTCCCCTGAGGAGCCCCTCCCCTCTGGTACTGTGGAGCTGTTTTTGTACAGGGCTGTGACCCTAGGTCACTTTCCTTAGAGTGAATTACTGTCCAGAGCCTCCTTGTTCTACCATGAGGACAAACTCAATGTGCCCAGCCCACTAAATCCCTCCAAATCCCTAGGATGTGCCCAGCAGGACCTGGGTTTGCTTTGAACTAGGCACCTTCCTGTGCATGCTCAGAAACTCACAGACTCGCCGAGAGACCCCAGTATGCTGCTATCACTGTCTTCTTAAACATCATCATAACCTGTCATGATATCTATATTCTTCCTACTTTGCTGACAAGACCTTCAGTGGGGTGCATCATGATATATCATCCTGTACTCATAGTATGAGCCATTGAAGAGAAACAGAGCGAATACAAATATACTTGAGTATTTTCTTTATTAAACAGCATTCAACATACTGAACTGTTTTGAAGTGGCTGAGCTGGGATCCAAATTCCTTTTTGGAAGGAACCGATGGAGCCTGGCAGTGTTATGAAGCTGGTCACATCTGGATGTTTTGTTGTGATTTGTTCAGGTGTCTCTCTCTGATTTTGCTTGTGTGGCCTGTCCTCTGGTGTCTCCTGGGTCCTCTGTCCTCAGTGGCCAGTGTTGTCCTGCTGTTTCCCCTGGGGAAGGCTGCCACTGAGCCACCTAGGCAGTCCTGTCCTCTTGGGCAGGGTCCTGTCTCCTCCAGCCCTTTCCTTCCCCTTCAAAACACTCTCATTTTCTCCTGCAGGAAAGCTCCTGTTCTGTGGTTGCCTTGCATTCAGGTTTTGGTACTCTGATTTCTGCAGGCAGAACAGTAAAGGAACACCTTGTCAATGTGTTGAGTGTTTTTCCAAATGCTCCTGCGGCAAGCAAACACTTGTTTTGTTGTGGATGTTGCTGAGTCATTTCCGGAAGTGGGAAGCATCTCAGAAGGGGAGAGAATTTGAAGTCAGAAATTCATACCCCTGATGGCCTCTTCTTCACCTGTATAGGGCCTGGGCAGCTGGTAAATATATCCTGTGGCTTCCAGGTAGGGTCTGACTAATTGCTCTGGAAGTGCCTCATCTGGCTGAATGGAGCGGGCTTTTGCAATAAGTTCAATTCGATTAAATGATTTCCATGCTACAGTGCTGCAAGGAGCAAAGAACTGGTTGGAACATGGCTTCTGGTTCCTTGAAAGACTTCTCAGCAATCTACAGATGATCTAAAGCACTTAGCCACCCTGGGGCTCGATTTTTCTGGATTTTCCCTCAGATGGGATATGGAAATGAACTTAAGTAACAGTTCTGCAGGCTTGACAATGTGGTCTAAGACCAAATATATGTTGGAAATTCCTACTTCGAAATCTCCAAATTTTCATGGCATTTCTTCTGAGTATTACACTGGCCAAAAAAAAAGACAAAAATGATTTCTAAGGGAGCCACCATGTCTCAAGGAGATTCCCTGACAGAGACATTCGTTGTAAAATCTTGCAAAAATGGTTTATAAATCATCAGTGATGCTGAATCCCCAATAAGTTATCTAAAAGCACAGCACAGTGGGTAGGATTTGAGTAAAGAATGAAAGGAAGCCTGATGGGTGGTGATTTGCTGACAGAAATGCAGTGGAGGCAGCCCATATGAGGAAGAAAGAAAGAATATTTTGGCAAAAACGCAGGCAATCTTTGGCCTGGCTGCACTGAAGACACGTCTGATGGTACTGTCTTCCTTTGTTTACTTGATTTCTTTCTTCATCAGATGATGAATTTTGGAAGGGCAAACCTCTAGTTTTTTGACGTATCCAGGATCTAACATTGTGCCTGACATGTAGCAGGGACCTGGTGTTTGTTACTATGTGGGCTCCTGGGGGAAACTGAGGCAGACAATAGCCTAAGAAGCATGCATGAGTGGGTCATGGCATGGCTCTTTCTGGATAAATCCCCAGAGCTCCATGCACTGGGCATTCCCTGCAAACAGGTGCTCTGGCTGTGAGCTTGTCTGGCTGTGCACCAGCCTTCCTGCAGCGCTCCTAAATGTTAGAAAAGAATGCATTTGGCAACTTATATTCATTGCCACCTAATCACCTAATCTGAATGGTCTCACAAATGATGATGTTACCATTTCGGCATGTCAATAATGGTTAATGCAAAATAGGCAGTGGGTTGTGAGAGTTGAGGCGAACTGATTTCATTTGTGTCTTTCAGGTCCTTAATCATTTGCATAAAAAGTTGAAGAACATGTCAAAGAAGTCTGAAACATCCAAGAAAAAGGTAATGATCACAAATATATCTGTTACTTTTCAGAGCTTAGTTCATCTTTACTTCTACTTGTCCTCACATCCTCCCAAAGCCTGTAACATTAGGGTCCTCAGTGTGGCTAAGGGTGCTTGAGATGAGCCTCCCACCGTTAGGGTGGAAATGAGGGTCAGCCTCAGCGAGGGCAGAGGGCTTCGCAGGTCACTCCATGCTGCATTCAAACTTAGCTGGGGAGGCGAGATCAAAAGATCTGGAAAGGCGAGGAAATGCGGTTATGCTGATTATGTGCCTCACTGGGAGGTGTGCTTGGGCTGACTGAGACAGAGGGCAGAGCTGCTGACATGCATTCTTAGAGGAAAAGTATAGTCATAGTGTTTTGTCTTTACCGTCTCTGATGTGAGTCCGGAAGGCTCTGTTTGGTTCTCCTTTAAGACATCATTGTTATAATCCCTGCCTTAACCCGCCAGTGTGCTGTGCCAGCCTCATCTCTTTCAGCCACACGTGTGCTGGCTCTGACCCAGCAGGTAAAGACTGCAGAGGCACAAGGCTGAAAGCGGATTCCTCCCGTTGCTAACTGACTTTCTCACCCCTGAGCCCTGATTTAAACAAGATTCTCCTGAGCAGCATTACTGATGGTCATGACATTCTACACTGTGAGGAAAAACTATTTCACAGATCAAGATTAAATTAACTCTTACTCAGAAAATATCTATGTAACTTCTGATTTTAGAAAGTAGAGTGAGATTATTGGGCGATATGATTAAGGAGTAGGAGCTTATAACCAGACATTTTAACCCAAAAGTGTTGGTAATAACATCTTAAAATACTGTGTTTTCTAAGTTTTGTTATGATCAATGACATACATAATTTGTAGAAATTCTAGTTTAGATCACATTTAATCATGTTTACTTTAAAAATTCTGCTTGAATAAAGGAGAGCTCTTCCTGACTTTCCTTGTTTATGAGCAGCAATGTGGCTAAAAGGCCATCTGATATCCTGGAGCCAAAACCAATGGTAGAGAATTGGTTATAAAGCCCAAACATTAAGACTTTTCTTTTTCCTGGCAACAACAAAAACAAAAAAAATAGCTTGTGCTAGAAATGCATTCATACAGTTTTTAGGATAACCACCTAAGAATACAAGGTGCAATATAAATAACGACCATGTAACAGCTTTATTCCATTGATCCTTTCTTATGTCTGAACAATTATTATGTGTATTTCATTTCATTTTAAGCCTCTAAGCCCCTCATTAGAGCAGCTGACCAAGTGCTAAGTTATAGGAATGGGATAAACTCTAGAAGTTGGTGTTTTCCTCCTCTGTTTTTGGTGATGTGCTGCTATGGCAGAGATTTTCCATTTTTCTGGTATGTCTATTTATGTTTCCTCTGAGCCACACTTCTGATTTCTAAGAAAACGATTCTTTAAAGACAATTAAGGGTTGTTTCTAACTTCTCCTTGGTCAGTGATTTTTAGAGCACCTGCTCTGTGTAGGACCAAGCTGATCCAGGGGATTCTAAGAGGCACTGACTCCTCATGGGAGCCAGCCCTGTAACGGAAGAGACATGTGTAAGTCCCAAAGGACTGTTCAAGTGAGGAGTGTTGGCGCATCAGGGGAGGAAGAGATTAATTTCTCTAGGGAGGGATCAGGCTTGCCAAACTTTAACTGATCTGTGATGAATGTTTATGAATGATTCAAAAGATTTTTTGCTTACCAAAAGAAGTAAAACATTTCTTTAACATTTGCTGAATCTTATTTGTGTCAATGGTAGTATTAGTCTCTATATTTGAAAAAGTTTTGGAGAGTTGTGATGGTCTCAGAGAAGGCAAAATACTTTAAAAAATAGGTATTATAAGGAATGATTAGAAAAATTTCTGTTTTATTTTACAATCAAAAACCTAAAGATTAGTGATTAGTTCAGTATTTTGTTTAGTTATATACACATACACATCTATACAAATATTTAGATTTATGTGAGTATATGCATATATAATACATATGTGGTTACTTATATACATAAAATATATTTATATAAAATTACCTTTTGCTCATTCTTACCAAGAGGAGGTTCTAGCATTTGAAGAAGTGATGAATATTTTCTTTCCTATTTTCATAGCCTCTGACCCTTAACAGCCACTGAACAGATGTCAGATCTTTGTTGATGTATTTAATTGGCTCCTTGTTTGCATAGAATAAATAAATGTGCTGGTGGTGGTGATGACAATGGTGGTGGTAGTGATGGTGGTGATGAAGGTGGTGGGTAGTGGTGGTGGTCATGGTGGTGGTGGTGGTGGTGGTGATTGTGATGGTGATGGTGGTGGCGGCAATTGTGGTGGTGATGGTGGTGATGGCAGCAGTGCTGGTACTGGCAATGGTGATGATGGTGCTGATTGTGGTGGTGGTAGTGATAGTGGTGATGATGGTGGTAGGTGGTGGTGGTGGTGATGGTGGTCATGGTGGTGATGGTGATGGTGGTGACTGTGATGGTGATGGTCGTGGTGATGGTGACGTTGGTGGTGGTGGTGGTGGTGGTGGCAGCAGTGGTAGCAGTGGTGGTACTGGCAATGGTGATGATGATGCTGATTGTGGTGGTGGTAGTGATGGTGGTGATGATGGTGGTAGGTGGTGGTGGTGGTGGTGATGGTGGTGTTGTTGATGGTGATGGTGGTGGTGATGGTGATGGTGGTGGTGGTGGTGATGGTGTTGGTGGTGTTGATGGCGGCGGTGGTGGTGGTGGCAATGGTGGTGATGATGGTGGTAGGTCGTGGTGGTGGTCATGGTGGTGATTGTGATGGTGGTGATGATGGCGGTAATGGTGATGGTGGTGGTGGTGATGGTGGTCATGGTGGTGATGGTGATGGCGGTGGTGATGGTGATGGTGGTGGTGGTGATGGTGGTGGTGGTGGTGGTGATGGTGGTCATGGTGGTGGTGGCAATTGTGATGGTGATGTTCATGGTGATGGTGATGTTGATGGTGATGGTGATTGTGATGGTGGTGATGGCGGTAATGGTGATGGTGGTGGTGGTGATGGTGGCGATTGTGATGGTGATGGTGGTGACTGTGATGGTGATGGTTGTGGTGATGGTGACGTTGGTGGTGGTGGTGGTGGTGATGGTGGTGGTGGTGGCAGTGGTGATGGTGATGGTGGTGGTAGTGGTGACAGCGGTGGTAGCAGTGGTGGTACTGGCAATGGTGATGATGGTGCTGATTGTGGTGGTGGTAGTGATGGTGGTGATGATGGTGGTAGGTGGTGGTGGTGGTCATGGTGATGGTGGTGGTGGTGGTGGTGATGGTGGTGATGGTGATGGTGGCGACTGTGATGGTGATGGTCGTGGTGATGGTGACGGTGGTTGTGATGGTGGTGGTGGTGGTGGTGATGGTGGTGGTGGTGGCGGTGGTAGCGGTAGTGGTGGTGGCCATGGTGATGATGATGGTGACCATTGCGGTGGTGATGGTGGTGACAGTAAAAGTGGTGGCTGTGGTGGTGGTAAGGGTGGTGTGTGTGCATCTAAGAAAGATATAGGAGAGAGGAGCAGAGGAAGGGTAAGCAGAGGGAGTGGAAGGAAGGGAGTGGAGAGAAGGGAGGTGGCGGAGAGGGGGACAGAGGCAGAAGAGACGAGAAAGGAAAAACTTGGGAGGGAACAGAAAGCAAGAATATATGGCAACTTCCCTGAAGACAGGAACTGTACTGGTTCTTTGTGGGTATTTCCCAGGTCTCAGCACAGAAAATTGCTACTGGTGCACATGTGTCATCATTTGATGGGTAATGGAAGATGTGACAGGGATGTGGATGGTTTGCTCATTTCAGCTCCACTTGTTTCCAGCCCTTTCTCTCAATGGCTCAGTAAAGTTCCCTTGCTATGTGCTGTATCCACTGGTCTTAGTTTGTTCAGACTGTTTTAAGAAAATACCATAGCCTGGGTGGCTCATAAACAATGGAAGTTTATTTCTTGCAGTCCTGGAGTTTGGAAGTCTAAAATCAAGCTCCTACAGATTCAAAGTTTGGTGAGGCCTATTTTCTGGTTCATAGATGGCCCTTCTCTCTGTGTCCTTATAGGGTAGAAGAGATAGGCAGCTCTCTGGGCCCTCTTTCATAAGGGCTCCAGTCCCATTATGAGGTCTCCCCCACACGTCATGGCCTAATCACCACCTAAAAGCCCCACCTCTTAATATCATCACTTTGGTGATTAGGTTCCAATATATGAATTTTTTGGAGGGGGTAAGGACACAAACTTTGAGACTGTGCCACCGTCCATGCAGGGCTTTCCTGTTGAGAGTTGTAAGTATTATGGGGTGGGGAGATTGGCCTTTCGTTATAAACATGCTAACAGTTATTCACGTTTGGAGAAACTGCAAAAGAAGAATGGGAGTTTTACAAAAGAAGAATGAAGCGCTGTGATTGATCACATGCTTTGCTTAAGCTTTGTTAGACATAAAGAAATGTTTCTGGCTCAAAGCTGATTGTTAAAACCTTGGAAGACCTCAAAATGGGATAGACACCCAAATGGGATGGTTGCTTCTTGAGGAAAATGGGATTAACGGATCTCTTGATATCCTATCAAGCCACTGGGCTCTTTTAACATTTGCTTTTATTGTCGTTGTTTCTTTGGCTTAAAGTAATTCAGTAAGCTTTTTGGCTGTCATTTATATAATTTGTGAGGGTTTTTTTTTAAATCGTTTTCATCTTTTAGTCACTTTTTTTCTGTCAAGCCAAGTTCCATTAGATATATTGTGAATACAATTCTTTGAAGAAAGAACAGACATCTCAGATGACTTGGAAAAGAGCATCTCACAATAAGAAGAGAGATTAATATTTTTTCAGATACTTTCAGCAGAAAGAGTACCATGCTAATAAAAGACCTAAACTCAAGTATAAGAAGATTTTGTATTGAGATTTAGCACGTAATTTTAGATGATGACTTTTTCTCCATCATAAGATAATGTTGGGATTCTGTACACTAAATAGACAAAGAAGGGAAGCCGTGCACACACAGGAGACAGGTCTGTCTAATGG